CTAGGGATGATAGAAAATTGATGCCTTTGAGCTGTGGTGCTGGAGAAGAGTATTGAATGTACCATGGACTGCCAAGAAAACAAACAGATTTATCCTGGAGAGGGTTAAACGAAGCTATGCAAGGATTCTGGGGCTTCTTCTGACATAGTTTGGGCATGTTGCAAGGAGGGACAGGTCCTTAGAGAGGGGCATCATGCTTGGGAGGGTAGAGGGACAGCGCAGGAGGGGAAGACCCTCTATGAGGTAGATTGATTCAGTGACTGGGGTAATCAGGATGGCTGTGTCAGAGGCAGTGCGATTGGCACAGGATAGAGCAGGGTTTAGGGCTGTTGTACATAGGGACGCTATGAGTCTCAAACGACTCGACGGCACATGACAACAACATAGTTGAGAGCACTGGTGCCCTTATGGGAAGGACTTGCACTGCTAACTCAAAGACAGACAGATTCTAACCACCAGCTGCTCCATAAAAGAAAGATGGGCAGTCTTTTCCTGTGTGATTTATAGCTTCTGAAAGTCAACAAAGTCAGAACTTACTTAACGGCTCATAAAAAGAACAACAAAAATATATTTTCTTAAACTCATGTTTCTTTCAAAAAGTGGCACCATGGTAGACAGATATTATGAAACATGTCCTTGAATTAAAAAATTATCTTAATATGCAAAAAAGTAATTTCCATCAAACTTATTCTTTTTGCTTTTGTTTACATGTGATGTGATTTACTCATTAATGCTTTCTTTTCTGGTACTTACTTGTGTTTTATTTGCAATTTTTTCTTGGCAACTTCTTTATCTAATTACCAAAACTAGACATTAAGTTGGATGGGAGTTAATTATTGCCATATTTCAATGTTCACTAATTTGTGAGTTTTACTTTTTTTCCAACATAGCCAATTAAGCAAGCAATTCTTGCTGTTGTGTCAGAACTGACTCATAGCTGACCCTCCAGCGGGGTTTTGGAAGCTGTACACCATAAGGGAGGAGATTGCCTATCTTTCTCCCATGTATATACAGGTGGATCTGAACTGGCCTCCTTTGGGATAGCAATAGGATTCCTTATCACAAGAGTAACCGAGCGCTCTTATATAGTAATAACTAAAAAATGCTAAAGTAAATGCATAAACATAGTGATTTAGAAAGATGCATATTAGAGACATTCTGCCTTAAGTCTACTGTTTCTGCAAGGGTTAATGATGGAGAAACAAAAGAAATAATGGCAACAACAGCAGCAAATGTGATTTTTAAATGTCGAGTATTAAATGCCTTTTCATGTATTTTATGCAATTATATGAGATCAAACTGTTCTAATGTAGCTTTTCTTTTCAGTCTTAATATAAAAATTGATTCCAATAAGTATAATAATTTTATCAAGATACTCCAAGATGTGGTAGAAAGGAGCAATAACAACAGGGCTGACCCCACTTGTAACAGCGTTTTCCAGTCTGACAGAATAGGAGAACAAATCCAGTGCCTTGGGATCTAATCTCAGGGTGACCTCTATAACATTCTGCTTCTTTGTTATCCTGTAAGAACTGAAAACACTGCCTTTAGGGAGGGCATGCTATGCTGCTCCATATGGTCAATAGCCACATACACTTTTAATTTTCCAGCCTCAGCTCATGAGGTTACTACCCCACTGGTATTTTTTTATTATGTGGACTCAGAAGAATAATTTTAAGATTTCCTTATGTATTATAGTATCTGCCATTTCAAACTATCAAGCATCTAAAACCTTTCTCTATCTACTAATAACTTGAGTGATTACCCTTGTTAGATGCTTCCTACAGAGAACCCATATGAGGATGTGTAAATTTATTTATATAAGTAAATAAAGATAGGAAGCAGCATAGATATAGATTAAGCTCCTATCCTGTGAATAATAATTGTTTCACACTGGAGGAAGAAGAAGGAATTTTATTGATTTCAAAAAGACTTAATCATATACTGCCTTGTTGTTTTTGTGCACATAGGAGTGAAAAATTGCATAAATTACTAGGAAGGGCATTGAAAGGAAGAATTGAAGAGAGAGCAGTCCAAGGGAGTTCTCAGGGGAGGGAAGCATGTTGATTGTGAAGATAAGATTATATAGAGAATGTTTAATTGTAATATTTTAGTACACTGTGAGAAACTGCTAACTTACATAAAGGCGAATCATTTTTTTCAATAATGAAATGACACAAAGAGGTAGATGCAGCAGTCAGGACCATATTTACAAGCAAATTAATTTTCGTAATATAGATGGATATTTCTCTTAAGAATAGCTTGATAATGCATATTTGGCCCATTGTTATTGTTGTTGTAATTATTATGCTTCTTAGCTCAACAATTGTTGCTTTATAATAACTGCTTTAATCTAAAATATGTATACCTTTACGTGCATTTTTCCCAGAAGCTATAGTAGTTTTTTCAATTATCCTGATGATACTTTGGACCCCAATTAGACATGATCTGTCCAACAGATTTAGGGATTGCATTTCAATATGCAATTTGAAGAGTTATTACCCATCACACTTGAAAAATAATGTCTCTAATCTGTCTTCGCAAACACTTTCATTATAATTCTAACTGCTCTGTTTATCTGTAAGGTTGCCATTACCACCTGGGGCTTTTTCGGGACTCTGGAAGAATCAAGAAGCGTTCAAGCATCTATACTTCCAAAAATTTCCTGTAAGGACTTTCATATATTTCTTCTTTTTCTTATGTGTCCTTCTGCTGTTCTTGTGTGTTAAACTGAGTGACTTCTTCCTGGGACCGTACATCACAAAGGAACTTTTAAAGGTCATTAGGACCAGTTTCTACCTCAGAGCAATGAGACTACCCAAACTACAATTATCTAAATAACTCCTTTTTAAACTTATTTTTCTCAGTCTTGAGAGATAAAAATCCCCCAGTTTCTCTAAGTCACTTTTCCTAGATTTTACCAGGGCATGGCATCAGGATTTTTTTGTTGTTAAAGTAAAAATCTTTTCCAGAATTTCACTTTCATTCTCTTTGCACACTGAGAGCAACTTATCAGAATTGTGTACTCTGAGGAAGACTCTTTAATCTCCTTTAGTGTTATTTATGCGAGCAAAATTTATTCTGGATATTGTATTTACCACTTCTTTACTTAGTTTGACATCCTTTCCTAAACAGTCTCTGTGATCTTCATTTTAACATCCAATTTGAAAATACAGGAAGCTCTGGTGGCCTCATGCGTCAGAACTGCACCGCCAACCCAAAGACAGGTGATTAGAATCCACCATCTGTTCTGTAGGAACAAAAGATGTGCAGTCTCCTCCTGGTGATTTATAGCTCTGAAGACCCACTGGAGGGTCAGCTATGAGTAAACTCTCACCAGATGGCATATAACAATGGCAAAAATTTTAAAATACAAATAGAAGAAAGAGCCCTTGTTCTCAAAGTCCAACATCTAATTCTCCAGAGAAAGAGGTCTACAGAGTAGACCTGTTTTCTCCTTTGTGGTCCTTGTATATGCCTAAGCCATGTGTGTTGTGTTCATAACATACTGATAACACCCTCACAGCTCTTATCAATCATCTTTCTTCTCTCCTTTTACTTTGGCTTCTTTCCCTGAGAGATAGCTGGTCCTCATTATGCACTCACTGAAAAAGAATGATCAGAATCTCATACAAAGTACTATGCAGTGTATCTTTATTATTTGTGAGTGAAAGGCAGATAACCTAATCAAGGAGATAAATGATAAAAGGGAAAAATAGCTTCATTTAGAAAAGAGCTCTCAGCATCAAATGACCTCAGAAGCCAAGATTAAACGTGCCCCCAATGGACCCTGGCAGGTAATATTTGTCAGTGTAGTTGGCTCCCATCAGCCCAATCTATCTACCTGATGGGCCACAGTTAAATCATCAGAGCACTGATATGATTAATTATAACCTGGAAATGGCCAATAATATGTGTAGGTGATTTTAATAAGATTATCATCAACATTGAAAGCTCCCTCAAGGTCCTAGTTTATGGTTAATCGCTTCTTTGAAGGTTTCATAATAACCCAATAGTATGTACTATGCCTGCATATTTTTCAAATAACAATTTATTTTCACAAAAATTTGGGCGAGAAAGACTACTTAAATGACCATTTAATGGATGAGACTATTGAGACACAGAAGAGCTAATTAACTTACCCAAGGTCATACAACTTAAATGACAACAATGAGATTCAAATTCATAGAGAGTGGTTCCATAGTCTCTACTACTCTTGGTTTCCTCTATAATATTGATTATATTAACTGAAGTGCAAGCATCTAGTTATTATGATGTGCCAAGCTATGTTCTCTCTACTTAATATATACTCACTAGTCTTTATTTTTTTCTTTTGTCAAAGCAGCATTATAGAGATCATTTAACACATGATTATACTGAGTGTCAGAGAAGCTGAGAAAAATAAATAGTAACTAACTCCCATCTATACCAAAGTTCAAGTGTAATAATAGATACCAATATTACTCAGAAGCAGTGTGGAAATCACTGTTTACTTTTTTCTTCTTTCTTCCTCCTACGTTAATATTTATGTGGAGAATGCATGTTACATTGAGTTGCTTAAAAATTAAATTTTATACATACTAGTACTAAATTTCACTGAAACTTGACTCCAGTCCTAGTCTGTTAATAAACTAATATTATGTATAATTAAAGAAGAACTGTATAAAAATTGCTTTGCATTACCAAAGTACTGTGACATGGTAAGATATCCTTCATTTAAAAAAAATAACAAAATTGGATTCATAAATTTAACAACTTTAAGCTCAAATATTTAGCTTGAACATATATAAGAATAATTTCTTTCTGGTGTTAGTGAAGCAAGGAGATTCGATTATGTCTTCAAAATCAAAGATGTCATTTAATCCCATAGTCAGATCATGAAAGAAAGACACATGCTTACAGTGAAGCCATAGTTACCATATTTTGTGTTTTCTAAATCTTAAAATCATCGCATTGCCTAATAATACCTGTTGAATAAATATTTTTTTAATCTTATTCACAGGGATACTATGATACCATGGATGCTGGTTACATGGACGAAGAAGGCTATTTGTATGTTATGTCTCGAGTTGATGATGTAATCAATGTTGCAGGTCACAGGATTTCTGCAGGTGCCATTGAAGAGGTACTAATGATTATTAGTATTCTGATTCAGGAAAGAGCCCTGGTTACACAGTGGTTTAAGTGACATACTTCTAACCAAAATTTAAAACCCATTAGTTCTTGTGGCATAGTGGGTAAGGAGTTTTACTGCCAGCTAAAAGTTGGTTTGAATCCACCCGTTGCTGTAGGGGCAAAATATGGACAATCTCCTCATGTGTGATTTACAGCCCTGAAATCTGCTGGTTGATCAGCTGTGATTTCTAATCCATAGCAATGACTTTGACTTTTTTAGTCAACCCATGGGAAATAGATGTGATGGTCTGCTTCTGAAAAGATTTACAGCATTGGAAACATGAGGATATTTTTCTCTTCTGTAAGGTCAAGATGAGTCAAAATCAGCTCAATGGCAGTGAGTTGTATAATGTGTAAGTGCGTGCATTTGTGAATGAAAGAGGGAAAGATGGGTTTTCAGGAAATATCTTAGAAACAGTGAAACAGCTGAATTGAAGACAATATTGAGTTTTAGTTCTTCTTCCTGGAAAATTACCACATCATTGATCTGAAGCATAGGTTGTAGGTTACTTTAGTATCTCTTTCATCTCACTAGCTCTAGTATTGTTCATATTCTCCATAGTCCCTCCATTTCTATCTGGATGTTATTGAGAAGTTTCAGGTAAAAATAAAACACTATTTATGAGTGAGTGAATATATTTGTTTCTCTTACCTTGCTTAGTATATATATGTAGTCTTGGCATGGAATGTGTTTTAAACATTTTATTACACATTTAAATTCTAAATAAAATGAAAGTTCCCCAAATATAAGTTTTTCAAAGTCCAAATAATTGACTTTTTAAAAAAAGCTTTTATTTTGAAATGTATAGAGAATAAAAATTTATTTTTAAGCAATTCTGAATTTTTATTTTGCATAGTTTCACAGAGAGTAACATAGAACAATTTCAACACTGACAAGTAGTAGTTTCATAATGCCACTTTTGTATTCTGACCCAATCACAACCCTATCTTTTTGGAATATACTGCTATCCCTCTGTCTTATATCATTTTTCTTATTTACTTAGAATGTTATATACATGGACTAATGCAGTATGTTGTTCTTGTTGTTGTTGTTGCTGTTATTGTTGTTGTTAGGTGCCATCGAGTCACTTGCAACTCATAGGAACCAAATGTTCAACAGCCTTAAATCCTGTTCTGTCCTGTGCAATCTTATTGTTTCTGACACATCTATTCCCAATAATCCCAGTTACTGAATCAATCCATCTCATCGAAGATCTTCCTCTCTTGAGTTTTCCCTCCACCTTCCCAAGCATGACGTCCCTCTCCAAGGAGTGATACCTCCTTCCGATATACCAAAAGTATGTTAAACAAAGCTTCAGAATCCTTGCCTCCAAGGAATAGCCTGGTTTCCTGGGAGAACTTGTCTCCTAGCCATCCACAGTATTTTCAATACTCTTCTCCAGTACTTCAGCTCAAAGGTGTCAATTCTCATTCTATGATCTCTGGTCATTATCTAGCTTTCTGATGCATAGCAAGGTAATTGCAAAGACTATGACATAGATCTGGCACATCTTAGTCTCTAGACTGCATTGTTGCTTTTCAGTACTCTGCAGTGGTCCCTAGTGACAGATTTTCCCAATGCAATATGTTTTTTGATTTCTTAGTTGGCACCAAGAGTGTTGACTGTGGAGCCAAGCAAATGGAAATTGTTGGCAATCTCAACCTTTTCACCATCTATCATAATGCTGCCAATCAGCCTAGTGGTGAGAATCTTTGTTTTCCTGATGTTGACCTTCAATCCATACTGAAGGCTGCAGTCCTTGACCTTCTGCACAAAGAGCTTAGGTCCTCCTCAGTTTTAGAAAGCAGGGTTGTGCCACCTGCACAATGCAGATTATTGCTAAATCTTTCTCCAGTCCTGAAGCTACATTCCTTCTCATAGAGCTTAGCTTCCTGGGTGATCTGTTCTGCATATAGATTGAAAAGGTATGGAGATAGCATACATCCATGATGTACAACCTTCCTGATTTTGAACCATGCAATGTTTCCTTGCTCTGTTCTGACGACTGCCTCCTGGTACAAGTAATAGTTTTGCCTAAGAAAAACTGAGTGTTTTGGGATTCTCATTCATCTCAGAGTTAGCCACAGTCTATTGTGATCCACACAGCCAAATGCCTTTGCATAGTCAATGAAACACAGACAGACATTCTTCTGGTACTCTCTACTTTCAGACAAAATCCATCTAAAATTAGCTATAATATCCCTAGTACCACAGACTCTTCTAAACCCAACCTGCATTTCTGGTAGTTCCCTGTTGATGTGCTATTCCAATTGTTTTTGGATAATTTTCAGCAGAATTTAGTCTGCATGTGATATTAATAATATTGTTCAATAATTTTTTCACTCTATTGGGTCATCATTCTTTGGAATGGGAACAAATGTGGGTCTCTTCCTATCAGTTGGCCAGGTGGTTGTCCTCTAGAATTCTTGGCATAATTTGATGATTACATCCAGAGCAACATCTGTTTGTTGAAATATATCAATTGTTAAGCCACCAATTTCTGGTGCCTTATTTTTTGCCAATTCTTTCAGAGCAGTTTGAACTTCTTTCTTTATTTTCACAGGCTCTTGCTCATGCTTTGTTTCATTAAAAGCTTCTGTTCTGCCAATTCCTTTTGATACAATGACTGTATGCTCTTTCCATCTTTTTTTATTCTTCCTAGATCACTTACTATTCTAAGCATCCCTGAGTATTGCAACTCAAAGCTTGAATTTGTTCTTCAGTTCCTTCAGCTTAAGAAATGTCAAACGAGTTCAGCCCTTTTGATTTTATGACTCCAGCTTTTTGCACATTTCATTATAATACTTTGTCTTTCCTCATTGCCTTTTGAAATCTTCTGTTCAGCTCTTTAATTTCTTGTTTTTTTCCCTTTGCTTTGGCTTCTTGGCACTTGAGTGCAATATTTAGTTTCTTCTGACATACATCTTGGTATTTTGTTTTTTCCCTCCTCTGTCTTTACAATGAACTTTGGCATACTTTCTGGATGACATTCTTGATTTCTTCATACAGCTGATCTGGTCTTCACTCATTAGTGTTCAAGGCCTCAAACCTGTTTCTGAGATGGTTTTGAAATTCTTGTAAACTCAACGTCAAATTTCAGTTCCTATGGTTTTGTTTTATTTTCTTTAGCTTCAGCTTGAATTTACATATGAGTAGCTGGTGGTCTTTTCCATATTCATCACCTGGTCTAGTTTTCACAGCTAATATTGAGCTTCTCCAGCAATTCTGTCTACAGATGTAATCGATTTGATGTCTATGCATACAATCAGGTATCTCCAGCTTCATTTCTGTCACCAGAAATTTCATGTCAGTCCATGTTTTCCAACTACTGCTTCTTCTCTTTTCCTAACTTTTGCATTCCAGTTACTCATTATTATTAATGCATCTTGATTGCATATTTGATTGATTCTGACCACAAAAATTGGTAGAAATTTTCTGTTTCCTGCTCTCTGGCTCAGTTGTTGGTGCATATATTTGAATGATAATGGTATTCACTGGTATGCGTATGGATATTATCCTGTCACTCACAACATTGCATTTCAACATGGAAATAGAAATGACTTTTTTTTTTGCAATACATTTTTTTTAGATTTTAATGAAAGTTTATAGAGAACATGAATTTCTATTCATTCATTGTTGCACAATTTCCTCCCTGCCCACCTCTTGCCCCTCTTCCCAGTTCACTTTTCTCTTTGGAAAAAAAATATTTCGTTATTATACAATTCCCCCACCCAGTCCACTTCACGATACAGCTCTTATTCTGGACTGTTATCATCCAAATAATACTTGGTCATATATTCTGTTTAAGCAGTTCACTCCCTCATCTGTTTCAAATGCAGTGCACATTATTTATCCCCTCTTTTGTTAGTTTCCCCCCAAACCACATATCAGTCCTGTTTTTTAACAGTGGCATTATGCAGTATTTGTCCTTCTGTGACTGATATATTTCACTCAGCATAATGTCCTCTATGGTCACACATTTTGCATACATAGTATTTCATGAGTTCCTTGTTTTTCAGTTCTGCATAGTGCTGGGACCTTTATCAACTGTCTGTGGGAGTGTAAAATGGTGCAACCACTCTGGAAGGAGATATGGTACTTTCTCAGAAAGTTGGAAATAGAAATACTATTTGACCCTGCAGTTGTACTACTGGGAATATACCCTAAAGAATCCAGAACCACCATCCAAGTAGATATATGCACACCCATGTTTACTGCTATGTTATTCATAATAGCAAAGAGATGGAAGCAACCCAAGTGTCCATCAACAAATGGATGGATAGAGAAGCAATAGTTTGCTCACACAATAGAAATTACTATTTTATCTATATGAAAGCAACACCATTTTTTCTGACCTTTTCTTCTCCAGCATTGTAGATCATATGATCGTCTGATTCTAAATGTTCCATACCAGTCCATTTCATTTTGCCAATATCTAGTATGTCAATATTTATGTGTTCCATTTCTTTCTTAACAATGTCTAATTTTGCCTACATTCATATTTCTCATATTCCATGTTCCAATCAATAGTGTCGGCTTACTACCTCCTTTGCGTTTCCATATTTGAGGACTCAGCATTAGTTGTCATATCTGCTTGTCTAAGTGTGCTCTGTAGTACATAGAGGTTTGAAGCCCTATTATTACTGAAGTGGATGGCAAATCTTTCGTTCTAGTCTGTTTTAATTAAAATGCCCAGATTTAGAACAGTATCTGGCAGACAAGCATTTACAGAAAGGAGCAGATGAAAGACATTTCACCAATTATAGAAACAATCATTAGATTCACTTTTGTCTTTATCCTTGACACATCTGTCTTGACTCACTCTTTTACCACCACTGTTTTGGTGGGTTTTTTTTGTTTTTTTGTTTGTTTGTGTGTTTTTGGTTTTTTTTTTTTTTTCCACCAGCATCCCCTTTTACTCCTGCATATGTCATTAGACATCTTTCTTT